CGTTAAAATGGGGCTACTATGGCTAACGATAATAAACTTTAATCGCCCTCAGGCAATCAATACCAGTGTTATCACAGAAAGGGTATGAAATTGCATGGGAGAAATTGCTGGATGTGAAACAAAACTTAATTGATGTAAATGTAAGAAAGTTATTTTTATTTAATCGATATAGTAAGAACTGTATTAATTCAAATATGAGGCAGTAGCTACCTAAAAATTATAGGAGCAAAGTAAAAGAAAGGTTTACCTGCAACAAATGACAGCTTTGCAGGACAGGGCCAAATCCAAGAAATACTGCCTTACGCCAAATGTCAAAGCGTATTTTAAGGTTTTTCCATCAATGATGAGTGCAAAATCGTTTTCCTTCCTCAAAGCATCGCCCAGAGTGCTGCAGTGATGGCTTAAGGTCTCTCTTGTTGCCTGTAAAATAGGAACATCGACTAGCAGTTAAACGGCATGACCAAAAATCCCTGATCATAAACCACATTGGTGATAAACAACACCAATTCGATTGGTAAGGCCACACTTGGAATACGGCGTCCAGTTTTGGTCCCCACGATGTAAAAAAGATGCTGAGACTCTGGAAAGAGTGCAGAGAAGAGCAACAAAGATGATCAGGGGACTGGAGGCTAAAATATACACAAAGAACGGTTGCTGGAATTGGGTCTGTCTAGGTTAATGAAGAGAAGGACAAGGGGAGACACGATGACAGTTTTCCAATATCTCAGGGGTTGCCCCAAAGAAGAGGGAGTCAAGCTATTCTCCAAAGCGCCCGAAGGCAGGAAAGAAGCAACGGGTGGAAACTAACCAAGGAGAGAAGCAACCTGGAACTAAGGAGAAACTTCCTGACAGTTAGAACAATTAACCAGTGGAACCACCTGCCTCCAGAAGCGGTGAATGCGCCAACACTGGAAGTTTTTAAGAAGAGACTGGACAGCCATTGGTCTGAAATGGTGTAGGGTTTCCTGCCTGAGCAGGGGGTTGGACTAGATGACCTCCAAGGTCCCTTCCAACTTTATCATCATCATCATCATCATCCAACTTTATGATGATGATGATGATGATGATGATGATGATGATGGCACACCAACACCCACCACACACGTGAATTTATTGAGGCCTGGTATTCCACCAAAGGAGCAATTAACAAGCATATTGATCCAGATCCAGCATATGAGTATGTGAGATATCAGACCATTTGAACTGCCAATCCACAGGAGAACCAATCAGCTGCTCAGAATTCAAATATACCTCCAAATGAACAACCAATCGCACGACCACACTGGCACACAAGACATTTTAGAAGCTAAGGAGAAGAGGGCAAGGACATCCTGCAGATGAGGTTACCTAAGCTGGTAACGAAACGTACAGGGATTATATTGAAACAAGCTTGGAGAACAAACCACAGCTAAAATAAACCATTAATCCGCATTTATTTTTTAAGCTAGTTTATACCCAGTACGTAGACTGTAATTCAAATGTTAGGCTATACTTACATCAAGGGAGCCTTCATTTATGACAATTAGCCCCATGTTCTTTTTCAAGAGTTTACACGAATGTCCTATTAGGGGGGGAAAAAAAGTACGCTGTTGGATTTTTAGGATTTTTAAAAGTTGTAATTACAAATACATAAAAGATATAAACATGACTCCCGACACTGAGACGCTAAAATGCAAGAATACTGTGGCCTGGATAAAGTAACTGGCATTAAATTACCGTATAGAGGTTTGGTGGGAAAATTCAAGGCCACTTGAGGGAATATATATTTAAAGAGAATACTAGAACGTTGATATTCTCTTTGGCTTCATGTAAACAAAGAACACACAAAATAACATTGTGTTTTGCTTTTATAGAACACATTCATCCAATATTCACCATCTTCATGTGAAAAAAAACAAACTATATGGCTAAACTATAATCTCTTTTAAGAGGGAAAGTTGAGTCAGAAGCTGAAGTCAATAAGATAAAGAGTCAAGAGTAATTTACCGGTTCTGGGACCATAAATAAATAAAGTTGTGTAAAGAATTCTTTTCAACGCACTGTTTTGTGTGTTGTTTAACCATAATCTCTTTCTATATTAATTAGAGTCAGACGAAATTCAAATCGCATTCGTCGGTCACAGGATTAGGGATCATTCTAAAGGATTTGCAAAATTTCTCACGCCAACGAAAACGCCAATATTCTTTTATGTGACATCCATTTGACCTTGAGTGGTTGAACAGAAATATGCCAGATTGCTATCATGGTATTACAGGCAAAAGCCAGAAACTTGCAAAAACTTTTCTAAGGAAGTGATCATTGGTAATGATAGAAGCTGTCATTGTTCACTTCGTCTTCTTTATTTATTTTTAAATCATATATTTTACTGATTTTTTAAAATATAAATCACTTAATAGTTGGTAAACAGTGTGTTTGCTGGGTTTACATTTGTAAAGAAAAATCATTAACAGCTGGTTTCTATAATCCATAATCCACAGAGTACATTTAGTTGATTTCCCCTTTTCCCCAAAATGATTTCTTTGCAAGCTTTGAAATAATACAGTTCTTATTATTTTGATAAATAACAGTTACATATATGATTTTCCCCCCCAATATTCCTAGAAATAATGCTCACGTCAATATAATATTTCTTTTCTATCTAATCATTCCGGTTGCCTCATCTTATATCCTGTTACAGTCCTTATTTAGATTTGTTTCTCCTGTAAAGTTCAAAGTATTCTTGCTGGTTAAGATTTTCTCAACAGTTAATTATGTTTAAAGGTTTAAATCCTTTTTTCCCATATAAACCATCTCAACACTTTTACATTTCTTAAAGCATAGGTAAAAACAGTAAACGAAAAGAGATCATTTCGTCTTCTTTTAATGTATGGCGTATATCTGGGCATTATTATTATTATATACACACACACACGTTTATAAATGTAATCATAATATTCAGAAATGATATCCACTACTGATATATAATACAGCCAGTGGATATATTTAATGATTGATTTGTCTTAATTATTAGTTATTAGCTCTTGCCATGTTGCTATGCTATGTTCCATTCTGTGATTCCTGGAGTTATGTGAATATCAGGACATAACCAATTTTTTTCACTAACCCCAAATTGATTTCATATAGTCAACTCTTCCTCTCCTCTCGTCATCAGAAAAATATAAGGATATTCTGAATAATTCCCAAAGGAAACAGGCATCTTTCTCTCAATTAAATACATGCATACGTTTAAGTTTACCAACTTGATTGACATATTACCAATGTTAATAGCTGTCTCTTGCTTGTCTCCAGTTAGAATCCAAATTCTGATATCTGCTTTCATTAGCGTTTCGATGGTTTCAGGCACTTGATCCTGTAGGCGATCTTCTATGGCTGTCGCGCCAAGTAACTGGAGATTCTTCAGAAAGAAGGCATGAGAGAATTAACTTCCTTTTCTCAAAGCAAGTAAGAAATATAATAATTATTATTATTTATTTATTGAATTTATATACCGCCCTATCTCCCTTACGGTACTCAGGGCGGTGAACAGGCGATAATAAAAACCACGATAAATGGTTTATATTTATATTTATATTTATAATAATATAAAGAAAACCTATGCAAAATGTTCTACAGATGGGCTCTTGCCACCAACAAGATTAGCAAAAATGTTTAAAAATACGTCAGAGAAATGTTGGAAATGTAAGCACAAACCAGGTACTTATTATCACATGTGGTGGGCATGTGTTAAAGCAAGGAAATATTGGACAAAAATTCACACTTGGTTAGAAAAAATGTTAGAGAAACACATAGACTACACACCTGAATTTTTTTTTACTAAGTATAATGCCAGAAAAACTTGATAAGCAAAGTACATCTTTGATTCTACGTGTGATAACAGCGGCAAGAATTATATTTGCACAATACTGGAAGAACGAAGAAACACCACCAGAAGAAGAAATAATTAAAAAAAAATACTAGACTATTCGGAAATGGACAGACTTACTTTAAGGTTGAAAGAAAAAGAAGAAACAGAACATTTTCAAACTTGGGACCTATTTTATCAACGGTTAGAGAAAAGATTTAGGGATTAGGAATTTAATTTGTATTAGTGAATAAGATACTCAGACAACATGTTTTGTTGAATGATTACTATTGAATTCTATTTAAAAAATAATAATTAATAAAACTTTATAAAAAAAAGAAAAGAAATATAATTTAGATTTAGGACCTGGTACTACAGCAAACACAGCTTACACTAAGGCACTTACAAACAGAAGATTCCTAGTATTATAGTGAGGTGGCTATTCTATGTTTGCCTTCTAAACAAAGTCTTTGTCTTTCAAGGGAAAAAAAAATTCTTGTAAGAAAAAAAACCCTGAAATGAGCTCCAAACCATTGCTCCTTGTGACAATGACGCAAGACTGTGTTCCCTGCTGGATTTTGAGCAACGAGAGACAATCATCTTGCTTGCAGCTATGCTTGGTGCCTTTTAAACGACAATTTAAATCCTCAAACTTCCTTTTTTAATCCTATCTGGAAGCTTCTTGTCAATTACTTTTAAGCTATTAGAGGCCTTTCGATCGACAAGTCTGAAAATATGAGGTTAAACGCCCCCCCCCTTAAAAAAAAAAAATCCAATCGGTTCTAGGCTACGTTACTCTATCTATCTAAATAAAAATGTAAATGTTCGTTTGTTCAAAATCTTAAATCTCCGAAAGTTCTTCACCGATTGCTTTGAAATTTTGACACAACGTTGCATTCGAATACGCGTGTGTTTTTATATACCTATATTATATAGATGTCACACCTGTGACAGGTAAAAACATGCTTTTTTTTGAAAAACAGCGCCATCTGTTGGATGTAAAAGCAACACATGCTTTTACCAGACTGAGCCACAGCAACGCGTGGCTGGGTACAGCTAGTCTATCTATATAAATAAAAATGTAAATGTTCGTTTGTTCAAAATCTTAAATCTCCGAACGTTCTTCACCGATTGCTTTGAAATTTTGACACAACGTTGCATTCGAATACGCGCGTGTTTTTATATACCTATATTATATAGATGTCACACCTGTGACAGGTAAAAACATGGGTTTTTTAAAAAAAACAGCGCCATCTGTTGGATGTAAAAGCAACACACACTTTTACCAGACTGAGCCACAGCAACGCGTGGCTGGGTACAGCTAGTTTATAATAAAATCTACGTGTCATTAACACGAATCTCAATAAAACTCACTGCATAAAGTTTAAGCGACACAGACCACCTACTTTTTCAATTAGTTCGTAACTCTCTTCAAGTTTCAGGGCTCTGTTTTGAATGGAAGTTGCCGCTCTTTGATACACACTCAGCCATTCCTGATAATCGCTTTCTGTAATCTCAGCCACAGCAAAACAGAGGGTTCTCAAACCTGCAGAAATAGCCATAATCATGGTCCATAACTATTACTTCTCTGTAAGTTTGGAACTTTGGATTCAAGCAGATTATAGACAAAAAAAAAAGTTCTTTTCCCCCCCCACAAAGTTTGCAATCAAGACTTAGAATTCTGAAACAGAAATTCAGTCTGAATTTTCTGAGTCTTTAAACCAGCCACAAGAGCTGCCATACAGGAAGTCCTCAGCTTAAAACAGTTCATGTAGTGATGGCTTGAGTCCGTTTAGTTGCAAGGGCGCTGAAAAACGTGATGTCAACGCTGCTAACCTTGGATGTTCTTCCTTTGACAACATATGGAGATGCAGCCATTTTCCTTCTTATGTTTTACTCTTAGAATTAGAGTTAGAATTAGATGATACTGGGGGGGGGGGAGGAGGAGGAGGAATGTCCATGGGAGTTTAGCTAGACATAACAATATTGTAACTAGTGTGAGAACCAAGGTTTTTGAAATAAGAGATGATAAGAATTGGCGGGCTGGAGAAATGGAGGGAAAGCCTGCATTTCAAACTAATTGGAGAATGTGATTTATGACTGTTAATTGGAGGAGGGAATTGTGCTTTGATACTATGTGCTTAGGGGAGGGGAATTTAGATTTTGGCTTTGGCTATGTACATGCCGATGCTGTGCTTTTCGAATAAAGATTCTTTAAGGTAAACAATGCCTCTTTGAAGTTCTTTGAAGAGTTTCATCTGTCGGAACCATGACATGTGACTTACGACCGTTTTTCACGGCCTTTGCAGCATCCCCAGGGTCATGTGATCAATATTTAGACCCTTGGCAAACTGACTCGTATTTATGACAGTTACAGTGTCCCGCACTTTTCAATCGCTTGTTGACAAATGAGAGTTAATTGAATACAGAGAAAAATAAGCCATAGGCAGTGTTTATTGGGGGTTCAAAAAAGAAATAAAACATCTAATCTGCACTGTACTAGCTGAAAAAAAAAGGAAAGTAATGTTTTAAAGTACTTGTCAACCGTCATTCATTTATATTATTATTATTACTCAATTATTTATTACAATCTGCTCTTATAATTAAATAGAAACACTATTACTCACCTTCAGTAGCAAATAGCTCTAAATGTTTCAAGGTAATTTCTTTGTATCTTGAATTCTCAGCCAGACGATCATAAATTACTGTGTCCTGTAGTAATAATTAACATGTTGAACAAAAATCTATTTTGCTGAGCGTTAAAAAAAAGATGTAAAAGCAAAACAAACTCGATAGCAAAAACTCTGTTTAAGGTGTAGTATTGCATTTAATTATTTAATTAAAATGCATATCCCATTTTCCATAGGAAATTCAGCATAAGGAAACAGGTTTATTATTATTTTTTTTTTAAAAATCACCACTATGTAGCAAAAAACCCCAACCCTCTGCATTCTTATATTAATGCAGAGATTGATTGAAAACCATACCGTACCATACCCTTTACAATTTTTACTGGATTGTGAACTATGAACTGAATGTACAAATGTGTGTGTGTTAGTTAAATCGTTATTATGTTTAAGAGTTGTTTACCCGAATGCAGCAGTGTAAAGTTTACATCAAATAAATATATAAAATTGCCTCCCAACTTTTCGGTTCTGTATTAATTAGATAAGATAAGATAAGCTAATCTTTATTGTCATTTTCATACTGTGGGCACAATGGCACACATCAAAAATCAAATTTTAGTTGCCAGAAGTCTGAATGACGTATTTTGGACTGTGAATTGAAGCTTTATGCTTAAAATCAGCATTTTTGTTTCAGAAAACTGGAGCTGTATAAAATCCCAGTTGAATGCTGGTATTCGAACGAGCATCCTCTAATGGAGCAGCACCATCTGGTGGTCTGTGTGGAGTATTACATTCCATTTTCCATTAGTGTTAAGTTGCGTGTAGTTTTTTCTTTTCTTTTCTTTTGTTTTAAACCAATTTACCAGTTGTTGCTTTCCCTGGAGTTGCACACCTCTGGAATTTATACATTTTTCTTAACTTTTGAGTATTTGTGCGTTGATATTTAAAAGTCAATAAGGCTTTTACGTCTTTTTTTCTATTTCATCTCGTTGAGTAAAATTTGATTTTGTTTATGCAAGAAAGCAAAAAAAATAAAAAAAATAAATAAAAAAAGTACCAGGGATGATGGCCAGTGCTTGTTCTCACTACCTGTTTCCCCACATTGCTAGATTTGTGTACAAACACACCCACAAGGCAGTTGTGTTTCAAGTGTAGGGGTCTGTATGTGGAGAAGACGCAGTTAGGTACGCAAGCATCTTATCCGTCTTATCCCCCCCCCCCCAAAAAAGGAGCCCAGAGAAAATAAGAAAAAAGCTGAATTTTTCTGGGGGTTAAGTATCTTCCCCTCAACTATGGGGGATTCCTCAGCCCTTTGCCCAAGAACTGGGATCTAAGGATGTGTTAAACCAGGGTTGTCCAACCTTGGCAACTTTTAAGACTTGTGGACTTCAACTCCCAGAATTCCCCAGCCAGCCAGCATGGCTGGCTGGGGAATTCTGGGAGTTGAAGTCCACAAGTCTTAAAAGTTGCCAAGGTTGGACACCTTGTGTTAAGCAAACAAACAAGGCAGGCAGGTGTGAAACTGAAGTCACGGTAGGTTAAAACCAGACTTTGAAGAGTTGGTCCCCTCTCTCCATCAGAAAGAAGGCATTTACCCCCTTTAAAACTGAAAAAAAAACCACCCCACCCCACAACCACACACCTTCCTCAGCTTAAAAAGAAGCAAACAAGGGGCAGAAGAGTTCCCTCTTTTTAGCAACGTGAGAACAGAAGAGGAAGGGAGCCACGAGACGGACGCCGGGGAGAGGACGAGAATAAATAGGAAGCACGCAGGTGCCGAGAAACACAAAACAGAAATCATAATAAGATGGTTCTAAGAATAGAGGCTGAAAAAAATAAATAAATAGGACATTAACGTAATAACAGGACATGGAAACAGGCAGGACAATGGGAGTAGAAAAGATAATTTGGGGAAATGTTAAGAGCCATAGGATAAAAATGGCACAAAAATTGGTGAAGACAATTATAGAAACCCAGAAATAAGACAGCAACTGAAGGGGAAAAAAAAAAAAGCAATTGGATCTCTTCAAGTCTGGGGTCCAACTGACAATTATTAGATCTATTGTGAGTCCATCTAAGGCAGTGGTTCTCAACCTTTTTAATGCCGCGACCCCAACCGGTCGTAAGTCGAGGACTAAACCGGTCATAAGTCCAGGACTAAACCGGTTGTAAGTCGAGGACTACCCAACCGGTCGTAATTCAAGGACTTTCCCTGCCCGGGAGCGTCGCGCATGCGTGGTTCCGCCCCCTGCGCCGGCCGAGGCGTAGCTGGCAAGCGGCAGAGACGGAGCAGGCCGACCACCAGCTGGCCCAGCCCAAGGGAGGTAAGGCACCCGCCGGAAAAGGGGAAAAAAATGGCGGACAAAAAAAATGGCGGACAGCCTTGTTGGCGACCCCCATGAAATGGTCGATCGACCCCAAATGAGGTCCCGACCCACAGGTTGAGAACCACTGATCTAAGGCAAAGGTCCCCAACCTTTTGGGCACCAGGGACCGGTTCCGTGGAGAGAGGTTTTTCCGCGGACCGGAGGGGGCGTGGTTTTGTGTACTGCCTGCATCCCGCGGATGGGGCTTTGCTTGTTTGTGCGGCCCAGTTGCTGGCATGCCGCGGCCCGGTACCGGTCCACAGCCTGGGGGTTGGGGACCCCTGATCTAAGGGGCCAGGAGACAAGGCTATTATGGGTTTTGATGTACACACTGGGGTTAGAAGACAGCATAGCAAAGTGAGGTGCCCCTTGGAGTATAGGTGATTGTAGAGAAAGTACTAGTGGGTGTAGATCCCAATGGCTTCTAGGAAGACCTCCCACCCTTCACGCTGTGGGCACAGTTGTGCCATTACAAAATGTTGGTTCTACTTTTCTGTGTTTATTGCTATGGGGAAAAAATTAAAAAGAATGGAAGAAAGTGGTAGGACTAAATAAGCGGTCATGTTTATTCCTTACAATCTTCCCCAAGAAAATATCTTTGACAATCACGTTTCAGAAATTTACATTTGAAACAAACAAACAAACAAACAAACAAACAAACAAATAACGGAGCGACAACTCACAGCTCCTTTGGAGTAGAGTCTTAATTTTCCCGATGGCGTGCGCACAATCACGGACATTCTTTTTCTAGAACTGGAAGAATTGAAAAACGTGTGAACATTTTTAAGGGACTGAGAAAAACAAAAGACATAAAAATAAAAGGCATCGAAAAGACCTACCTTGTAAATTCTAACACATTTAGCAATTCATATCTTTCTTCCTGACCCAGCTGGAGGAAGAAAAAAAAGCAATGCCTTATTATTTAAAATTTCAAAGGGATTTCTAATTTCTCAATTTTTTTTTTAACTGAGAAAATAATACCTTTTACAGTTTTACTAATTTAATCTACTTACTGATTCTATAATGACAGAGTCTGGTGTTCTTCCCGTAAAAACAAAATGTAGTTGCTTAGCTGCTCTGACTAATGCTCCTTCATCTGTAATAAACCATCCACTATTATTATTATTATTTCACTGACAAATGGATAAGAACAAAAAACTAAAAACAATCAATGTGTTTACTGTTTTGACAACCAGAAATTAGGTTTTTTTTAATCTTCATTTTATTCACAGATCATTTCATTTCATTCATATATAATTTCCGCCACATTTTCCAAAAGTAAAAAGAAGCACATTTCATAATTTAAGAATGCTTCCAAACAAGACTTCTATCTATATAATAGCCTTTCCTGGTTTTACATAATTTGGTGGGAGAATCAAAGAGGATCGTGAACTTCTGTTTCAGTTTTCTTGCTTATTGTTTATCACTTCTTCCATTTTTTTTTCCTTTTCAAAAATATCAAGTGAATTATTGGTTTTGATAAGCAGTACAAGAACTGTTTGGAAGCATCGCAACGTCCCTATATACTTTTACGTTTGTGCAGTTAAAATGTATAGCTAAAAAAAGATCCAGCCTTTTGTTAAAAATTGATATCCTAGCACATTGTTGAACTAAACCGGTACTAATTCATTCTGTTCACATTACAGTGCAGGAGGAAATCCTACAAAGCCTATTATAGATAGGCATGACTTGGGTGTGTGGCAAGCCAAAATGTCCTTTAAAAGCCCAAGCAATCCATAATCCTTCTCTTTTTTTTATTAGTTTTATTCATTTATAACATCAAATGTGAAAATACAAAAGTAAATAGTAGGGGACAACAGCAGAGAGAAGGAAAACAAAAAAGATGTAAAGAAAGGGAGGGGAAGAAACAAAAGACATTGACTTCTGATGATAATGTTCAGCCTACAGTTAGAAACGCATCCTCTTTACAATGAACTCCAAAGATAGATAGATAGATAGATAGATAGATAGATAGATAGATAGATAGATAGATGGATGGATGGATGGATGGATGGATGGATGGATGGATGGATGGATGGATGGATGGATGGATGGATGGATGGATGGATGGATAGATAGACAGACAGACAGACAGAAAGATAACCTTTATTGTCATTTTTTACTGTGGGCACATTGGCACACATTAAAAATGAAGTTTTGTTGCTTGCTCTCCAAAGTGTACACATACATAACACACATTTAAACATGCTATATACAACGTATGTATAAACCTACACCTTTACATATAAATAACACATAAATATTAATCACTGTCCATCTTGAATACATAATGGAAAGAGGAAGCTTTAGAGTTCACAAGATTAATATTGTATGGAACAAAACTGTGACTGAATCTGTTTCGGATCCCTCTGTTCGGTGGGAAGATATCTTTGAGTACATAACTGAATGTTAACACAATTCAACTTTACGTAGCTGAAAAGGATTACAGCTGCTGCATAAATCTTACCTGGTGATGCTGCTTGATACACTATTCTGTCATCCTCTCTTTCTGGGACAGCTGTATGACAAATTGCCATCATTGTCAAAAACTCACAAATTATAGGTGCAGTTGGCTGAAAACCAGAACACAGTAGAATGAATTGTTCTTTATTCTAGAATTAAAAACTGTACATACAGACAAACAGGTGCAGAAACAACCACACAAATAAAATCATTGCTTCTTTTTTTTAAAAAAACAAAACAAAACCATCCATTCACCTAGCAGAAACAAAATGGTAGGGGAAATGGAAGCGACCAAGAAAAGATATGCATTTTCTTTTTCTTTGCATATGGCTTAGTGAAAAAAAAGGGATAGTAGTAGAAAAAAAAAAGCTATGAGTCAGAACGGTGACCGGTGCAATTACAGACCTATTTTTATGCAAATCAAAATTGCACTGTGTTTTAAGCCCTTAAGAGGAAATAAATATTGTTAACTCTTCTGATAATCAGAAATTATTTCACAGTTTTGGTCACCGCGATACAAATAATAATAATAATAATAAAATGTTGAGGCTCTAGAAAGAGTGCTGAGGAGAGCAACAAAGATGATCAGGGGACTGGAGGCTAAAACATATAAAGAATGGTTGCTGGAATTGAGGATATTGTCTAGTTTAATGAAGAGAAGGATGAGGGGGGACATGATAGCAGTTATTCCAGTATCTCAGGGCCTGCCCCAAAGAAGAGGGAGTCAAGCTATTCTCCAAAGCACCTGAAGGCAGGACAAGAAGCAATGGATGGAAACTGATCAAGGAGAGAAGCAACCTGGAGCTAAGGAGAAACTTCCTGACAGTCAGAACAATTAACCAGTGGAACAGAAGTTGCCTTCAGAAGTTGTAGGTGCTCCAACACTGGAGGTTTTTAAGAAGAGACTGGACAGTCACTTGTCTGAAATGGTATAGGATCTCCTGCTTGAGTAGGGAGTTGGACTAGATTTCTTGATTGGTGGACCAGAGGGAAAGGGAGGAGAAAGCATTTTATGTGCTTGCGTGCTGCGGCAGTGGTGCTAGCATGAGTGGGGGTGACTATGCGCACACACATGCACGCCCTGGCCAGTCTGTTCCGCGATCCAGTGGCCAGTAGGCCACGGCCCAGTAATGGGCCACGGCCCGCAGGTTGGGGACCACTGGATTAGAAGACCTCCAAGGTCTTTATTTCATTAGATTTTTATCCTGCCTTTATTACTTTGTCGGTAACTCAAGACGGTGAACATACATAATACCTCTTCCTCCTCCTATTTTATGTTAGTTTTGAAGTTATTATTTATTTCGCATCACCGTATTTCTGCATCGTACATGTTTATTTTGCAGGTTTTCCAGTAACGACGAGTCGCTAAATGTTTTTTCTTCCCCTGCTTGTGAACTCTGCCTAAAAGTAAAAGTGAAAGAAATGAAACCAGTTACATGTATTTACGATAGAGAAACAATGCAGCTTTATTAAGTATAAATCATGTAGATTCTGTTTACATCTTTTTTTTTGAGGTAATGGTTACAAAAGATTGTAATTAGCACTTAAGGAGGCATCTTACATTTTAATTATCCTTCCTCCACCTATAGTTCGATTAACTATGTAGTAAAACATATTTAATTAGGTTCAGCACAAAATGATGATAAATATACAGAATGAAATGAATGAAACAATAGTTAATTTACCCATATAAATCACATCAAAACCAGACCTTTCACCCATGGATTAAAAATCAAAAGTCAACCTCTGATAACAAATAATGTTGAGATTGAGATTGAGTTTTGATGAACGGATATGGATATTTTCAATAAGGCTGTAAGACTGTACCGTAGTACTCTAATAATTCTAATATGAACATTTTAAAAACCAGGTTATTTATGTTTGAGTGAAGTAAAGCTTACTCAGTCTAAGGAAAATGGATGAGCAATCTTTGCTCATCTTTGCAATTGATGAGTCAAATCCCGCTTCTCAACAGGTGAAATGTTTATCCGAAGATACTGTTTCAAGATTACTTTCTACGTTAATAATATTTATGTTAATAAATATATATGTTTATATATTAATTGTGAGTAGAAAAGAAACAGCAGCAAAAGTTAGTGCTTACCACTCATCCGAAGTGCAGCCCAAATCATCTGATTCAGGAGAATGGCTGTATGAAATGTAAAGGAGGCAGAACCACATAGAAAAATAGTTAAGAAAGGCTTGACGTTTGGACAGCTCATCGGAGAGAAATTTTAAATTTTAAATAGGGAAATTTTAAATAGGGACAATTTTAAGGATTTTATCAAGACACAGCGACAAATATTTGGTTTTTAATTGGCTTTTAGAAGGGAAATGTTTTATATTGTTTTAACATGCTGTGAGCCGCCCTGAGTCCCATGGGGAGAAGGGCGGCATATAAGTTGTGATAAATAAATAAATAAATAAATAAATAAATTAAGGCAAAAGGATCGCAAATGATCTAGTGCAGTGATGGCAAACCTTTTAGAGACCGAGTGCCCAAACTGCAGCCCAACACCCACCGGGTGCCAGGTGCCGGGTGGGTTGTGGCCCACTCGGCGGGTGCAGCTACAGTGGGCTTGGTAGACTGGATGGGCGTGGCCACTGGATGGGTGTGGCTGCAGTAGTCATGGCAGATTGCGTGGGCATGGCCGGGGTGGGCGTGGCCACCTTGATGTTGCTTATTGGGAGGGACACCTGTGGGAGCCGGGCAGGGTTGGGAGAGATCCAGGGGATCTCTGGCGGGTGGGATGGTGGGCTCCCCAATGGCGACTCCAGGCTGGCTGGCCTTAGGCCAATGATGGTGAACTTTTAGAGACCACGTATGCTGGGGCAATGGCGCGTGCCCACAGAGAGGGCTTCGCGTGCCACCTCTGGCACACGTGCCATAGGTTCGCCACCACTGATCTAGTGATCCATTCATGTAATTGAAACTATAGGTTCTAAAAAGTGATCCATGTTATTTGGAATCCTACTTTATTAGGGTCCTGGAGTGCATGGCCTACCTTAAATAAACTCAAGCATTCAGCTCCAGAAGCTCTGGAACCAGTCTTGTCCAATCTTGGCCATTTTTATGGCTTGTGGACTTCAACTCCCAGAATCCCCCAGCCAGCAAAGAAAGGGGAGGTGGGGATGGAGGAAGTTTGAAACAGGAGGACAAGGCACAGCCAGGTGTGGTGTTGTAAGGGAAGAGGAAGCAGGAGCCCTGAGAAGGATCACATGTTTCACAGCCTGTAGCCCTGAAATTTTAAGTTCCAATTGCTATCGTAGGTTTTGAAAATCCAAACGGGTTCTTATAGATGGAACTGGATGGAGCAAATGATTTGCGCTGACTTTTAACTTCCACATCCCGAAGGATTTTAGTATTTTACTCCTCAGTATCTTTTACTTTTTTAGTAATTAACAATCTGACAACCCACGACAATCCAGGAAAGAGCGCCACAGAGGTTGCTAAAGTTAAAGTTAAAAAAACATCCGTGTAAAATGTCCAGTTTGATCGTTCAAACTCCACGGGTAAAAAGATGAAGCTGGCTTAAGTGTAAAACACAGGGACTGAATTAGGCATGCATCAGAGGCTCTGATTCTCTTTGAGATGTTTTTGTTTTTTTTTAACTTAAAAAGATCCTGAAGAGATCTCCAAAGTATTTTAAGGACATTGCAAATGTCCAACTCTATAATTTTTTTTTTTAAAAATAAAGGGGCGCCAAGCAATGACGTCAGAAAAGAACTCACCCGTAAGATATTCCCGCTATAGTGCACTTCTTGAATTGCATAACGTTGCACGTCAAGGTGCCTGTTTTGTCTGAAAAGATGTATTTGACCTTAAAAAAAAAAAAAGGTAAATGTGCATTAACAGGCTTCATCAAGTATACATTAATAGGACAGCACCGTGGTAGTAACATAATGCGATTTCTTAAAATTATTCAATGTTTTGAAAATGCTAGCAAAAAAAAAATATTATACAAAAGAAAAAGCTTTCCAGTATTGCGTAGATTTTAGATCAGGGGTCCCCAACCCCCGGGCCATGGACCGGTAGCGGGCCGCGGCATGCCAGCAACCGGTCCGCACAAACAAGCAAAGCCCCATCCGTGAGATGCAGGCAGTACATAAAACCACGTACTCTCCGATCCGTGGAAAAACCTCTCTCCACGGAACCGGTCCCTGGTGCCCAAAAGGTTGGGGACCTCTGTTTTCGACAACGGAACTGTAAACTGTCAGTTGAGAATTGGGCACCCCTTCCAACTCCACAAGTTAGGAATATTGTGATCTCCAGAACGATCATTTGAAGATTTATCTTCTCTCTACATGGATAGGATTTAAACCTAGTGGCAGCTGTTAAAAGTAAAATGCCATCTTCTTTGGGGGAAGTGTCCCTAACGCTGATTTATCTCTGGGAACTCTTTTTCTTTTTGTTTCTTTAATAATATTTTATTGAAGTTTTAAAAAAAAATACAAAGATGAAAACTTAATTGTAAGTGTTGCATACTGAGTTAGAATATTTATGATATCTTGTCAATAATGGTTCCTGTGATGAGACATTGCTAAAAATGGCACCCTAGGCCAGTGATGGCGAACCTTTTAGAGACTGAGTGCCCAAACTGCAACCCAAAACCCACTTATGCATCATCGAGTGCCGGGTGGGTGTGGCCCATTGGGTGGGCGTGGCTGCAGTGGTAGCGGCAGACTGGGTGGGACTAAAAAGTTCAATCAATCAATTCCAACTTTGCAAGATCTTTTTTCCCGCAAGAAGTTGAAATTGACTGACTGAACCTTTTTTTTTTTTGCACATGGCGGTGGAGGCCTAAAGCTAAAAGGTTTTATAAAACCCAGCTGAAGGCCTAGGACTGGGGCGACGGCGCACGTGCCCACAGAGAGGGCTCTGAGTGCCGCCTCTGGCACCCGTGCCATAGGTTCGCCACCACTGCCCTAGGCTCATTTTTTTTCTTGTCAAATCTGTAGGACTCTTTATAAATGCTCTGCTGTTCAGAACAGTGGTTGAATTAAAGTACTGATATGAATGAGTCTCATTAGACCTTGGCATGTTCCAATCCCTAGGCCAGAGGTGGGCAACTATGGCCCCTTTATGATCTGTCGACTTCAACTCCCAGAATTCCTGAGCCAGCATCTACATTTGGGGGATAAATGTAAACACCATCCATTTAAACACAGGACAGAGAGTATTTATATTCTACCAACTTATCCATTTATCAGATAAACAGCAGTTAAAGGAGATGACTGTGTGAATTTAAACTAAGAAATTACATATTAATAAAACAACAGAAATCCCCCCCCCCAAAAAAAACCATACCTGGCCAAGTTCTTCATTAAGATTGGATGTACGTGCCATGGCAGCAGTGTCTGTAAGTTCATAATGCATGTCAATATCCTAATAAAATAATAATAATAAAAAAGCTGAAAAGGGTATTAATTTGTGTACACACTCCGCTGCAATCTGTTTTGAGCAAAACATAAGCAAGAACTTGGTATAACTAAATATTTATCAAAATTTTATTCAATGTGTGAATATTGAGGATATTCTGATATTAAAGCCAGGTGTAGGGCTAGGAGTTAGACTTCCACCAAGATTGTGCATTAGACTATTCATTATCCATCTTTGTAGTCTGCATTAGGAGTAAACATGTCTATCCAAGCTCATATCTTAAAAGGCTTAGTTGTAAAGGATTTCTTTAATCTATACAATTTAAAGCCTGAGATCATATATTTTGTGATATTTTATTCTTCAATTTAATCTGCATTATTTTAACAAATAAGCTTGTATTACCAAATCATTATCAAGTCACGTATATTCTGTTCTTGAAATGAATGATTAAAAGGTCTGCAAATAGCACAATAATTTTTATATTTACCCAATTTATAAAATACGCCTGAATAAATTTAACAACTTCCAGTGTAACTAACAGGCTGATCGGAATTAGATTATTGAAGAGAATGATAAATGTCAGGAAATTGAGTCCAAAATTATTAGCTCCTCCATCTGTTAAAAAAGGGAGAACAAAGAGAAATCATGCAATGATTTATAACATTAAGTACAATAATTCTAAACATTTATTTAATTATTATTATTTTTTTTAAAAAAAGAACTATGCATAAAGCTCTCCTAATGTCATGGTTCCTATGAAACCTGCTCTTGAATCTGATTATTTGCCTTGGAAAGGAATCTGAATAGAGGTGTCAAAAAATAATAATTGGAAAATAGCACCTAAACTGGATCTCTGCTAAGATCACAGTGCAGACAAAAAAGTATAAAAACCCACCATACCGTGTGCTATTGTCCTGATGCTATTTAAGTCGTTTAGCCTCCCTGAAATAATGCATGAAATGCAATTATTGTACAGGGTTTCACACAATTTCTAATCTGAACCTGGACAAATATGTCTTCCAGTGAATTTGTATACGGTTATTTTATTTTATTTATTTATTTATAATTTAATTTGTATCCCGCCCTTCTTCTCACCGGACTCAGGGCGGCTAACAGCCTTATAAAACAACATTACAATAAATATCCATATTAAAACCAAATTAAAAGAAAATATTCGTAAAGGCCAATCGTTAAAATTACCCTTAAAATTACCCTTAAAAACCCCACTAAAATTCCCTAGGCCAAACCCGCTTGTTGGAAAAGCCATGTCTTTAGGGCGCGGCGGAAGG